GTTAATAAATGACCTGATCACCAAAATGGAAAACACAAGTAGCTCCTATCTGTATATAATTTTTGGTATTAAACAAAATCAGACAAAAACCACCCATATTTTTCTCTACATACAATTTGCTTTATTTGACTGCCTAGCAAAGACCTATACTTAGGGTTAGCTTGTCTCTACTACTCATTTACCTTCTTTAATGTCTGAATGAATAAAACCAGTTGCATCTTACACAGTCAAGAGGATATCCCACTGATCCCTAAATAAGTCTTTCAAAAACCATGCCTAAAATCACAGATCACCACTTTGAGATCTAAAACTCTTGATATGAGATGTCCACTACAATAGAAATCACAAAGATATGGGGTGCCTGGGTGGCTCAGTTGATGAAGCACTGCCTCTTGATCTGGGCTCAGGTCATGATCTCAAGGGTCCTGGGATCAAGCACTGCATTGGGCCCCATGTTCAGCAGGGAGTCTGCTTGAGGATGCTCTCTGCCCCCACCTCGTGTGCTCTCACTCTCTCAAATAAATAAATGTAAAAAAAAAAAAAAAAAGTGTGAAAAGAGCCTTTTATACCCCATCCCCTGTCACATCACACACCATTTTTTATATACTCTGGCAGTCAGTTGCAGGTTTTATTCTCCTGGGCAGGTGTTCAATAGATGGTTTTGTAACGTTTTATAGTCCATTTCACCAATCCCTTCCTGGAAGGGAAGTTTTGTGGTTCAAATGCACCTTTCGCCTTAGGTAGGTGATAATGACTGCCTTTTTTCTTTCCCTGTCCCATTTTCAGTCCAAAGTATTCTGACATTCCAACTACCCCTTCTCCCTTCACACTTCTTCCCCTTTTTTGTACTTGGAAGCGAAATCCTGGGATATGAACATAAGGTGTACACCTTTGCATGTTTTTCTAGTACTCTACTCCAACATCTTTTATCTCTCTAAAAGAGAACAGTAAGTGAATAAGAAGTAAAAATCTAGGGGCGCCTGGGCGGCTCGCCTTCAGCCCAGGTCATTATCTCAGGGGCCTGGGATCGAGCCCCACATCGGGCTCCTTGCTCAGCGGGGAGTCTGCGCGCTCTCTGTGTCAAATAAATAAATAAAATCTTTTTTAAAAAAAGTAAAAATCTGTAATACGTAAACTAAAAATGGATGGGATTACAGCAGCTAAATCTGCAGAGGTGAAATATACTAAAGAAACTATGATTTCTGCCAACATGCTTGAATAACCCATACTTTAATTCTTTAAAGCACTTTAGAGGGGCGCCTGGGTGGCTCAGTCATTAAGTGTCTGCCTTCGGCTCAGGTCATGATCCCGGAGTCCTGGGATCGAGCCCTGCATTGGGCTCCCTGCTCAGCGGGAGCCCTACTTCTCCCTCTCCCACTGTCCCTGCTTGGGTTCCCTCTCTGTCTCTCTCCCTGTCAAATAAATAAAATCTTAAAAAAAAAAAGGCACTTTAGAAAAATAAAGGAGCCAGGAAACGGTCAAATAAACTTTTCATTTAAGAAAAAGGTCAACAAAAGACAAAAATGTCCACAATTTCATTAAGAATTAAATGACTCGGGACGCCTGGGTGGTTCAATCTGGTTAAGCATCTGCCTTCGACTGGGGAGAGTCCTAGGATTGAGTCCGGCCATCAGGCTCCTTGCTCAGCAGAGAGCCTGCTTCTCCCTCTGCCTGCCGCTCCCCCTGCTTGTGCTCTCTCACTCACGCTCTCTCTCTGACAAATAAAATCTTTTTTTTTTTTAAGTTTTATTTATTTATTTGAGAGAGAGATAGCGAGAGAGAGAAAGCACACAAGCAGGGGAAGAGGGAGAAGCAGGCTCCTCGCCAAGCAGGGAGCCCAACGTGGGACTCTCCTGGGATCATGACCTGAGCCGAAGGCAGACGCTTAACCGACTGGGCCACCCAGGCGCCCCACAAATAAAATCTTTTTTTAAAAAAAAAATTAAATGACTCTTTAGAAGGTGACACTGTTTAATTAGGCAAGTCTTAATTTTTTTAAAAAAGATTTTTTATTTCTTTATTTGACAAAGAGAGACAGCGAGAGAGGGAACACAAGCATGGGGAGTGGGAGAGATGCAGGCTTCCTGCCGAGCAGGGAACCCGATGTGGGGCTCGATCCCAGGGCCCCAGGATCATGACCCGAGCCAAAGGCAGACCCTTAACGACTGAGCCACCCAGGCACCCCAAGTCTTAATTTTTTATTTATAAAGTTGGATCTTTTGAGTTGGACGAAAAAGTCACTAAGGAAAAAAAATACATTAACCTTATGTGTAAACATACTGCTACCTGAAACTCTGAGAATAAAAAAGCATTTACCATGAAACTACCTATGTAATAATTCTATACTGTTTCACTGGAAAGGCTTCAAAGTAATAGCTCTGTAAATTCACTTTTCCCACTACAAAAGCAATACATTTTAAGTGAAAAACACCTTCTACTTTCCTAAATATAAAAATCATTATTAAAATATTAGCTTCTAAATGATAAGGTTTGAAGGAAAATTTTTCCACCACATCAGAATTCAGAAGTGAGACACACAGGAACTAGACTGATAGCAATTCAACTATCTCCTTTTACTGACCAAAGTACAATGGAACGACTAATTTAGACCTAGGCCAATGGGGTTCCTACCACCATACCCCTTAATTATCCTAAACCAGTCAGAAATAGCACTGGACAACAGATGGTCCTCCAAAAAGGCGCAGAGTCTATCATGGTGGCTTCAAGAAGCAGAACAAAGTGCTTTCTGCAGGGGGCAGACTTCCAAAGAGAAAAAGAGAAAGGCTAAGTCAAACTCTTATCAGTTCCTTCTTACAAATTCATCCGGCAAGAGTCAAGTGGGACAACAGGAGCCAAGTCAGACTGTTTTTAATGCCTTAAAAACAGCAAGAAATCTAATACATCACAAACCAATTTTAGTTATTAGTACAATTTTTATATTAATCACACACGTCAGTAAAACAGCCACAAACTGCATGCCAAAGCCATACGAGATACACTCAGATATTTAAAATCCTAAACCTTAAAAACGTGAAAAAAAATACAGATTATTTTGCTATGTTAAAAATCCAACAAATTTAAAGTTCATTGAATTAGGAAGTATGGAGAACTTGAGTCCAGGAGACAGGAACCAACCTCCACTTAATATTATGAAGATCTTGTCAATGTCTATAAAAAGCAAGACTATCTGGTCACTGACCAGATTGGATTTGGATGTCAGACCTGGCCCAAATCTCTATTATAGTTACTTCTAAGTACCTACACAGGAAGACAAATTATATTACAACACCAGAAAGATTTATAAACAAGTATGGAAGGTTTAAGAGAAACAAAATCCTAGTATTACCTTTGTTCAGACTGCATAGTTTGGCTTACCTAAGAAAAACTGGACTAAGAAAAACTGGACTATTAAGGTGTACAAACCTTGTAAGACCAATTTAAATATGGCAGTAATTTAGACTTTTAAGTGGAAATCTTACTAAATATTAAAAACATCTAAGGGAACTTTGCACTCAAATTAAGTAAACTACGCATAAAAATTAAAGTTTAAATTTTCTTGAAAATGTTCAAGTTTGTTAATAGCAAATCTAACTTGAAGATTAAATAGCCAGACTTGTACAAATAAGAAAAAAAAACTTAAAAGCTTAAGAACCAGGATTCTGAAATATAATTTTTTACATCAGTGTAAACCTTTACTGGGTACAAAGAACCGCCCTTTAGGACACCAAAAGACAATTCTACAAAACTTAAGTTCACCAAAAATTGAATTTTAAAAGACATTCATGCAAAAGGGAAGTATCAACAACTATTCACGCTGCCTGTGCAGATGAAGCAAATCATCTCTAAAAAGAAACCAATTAAAAATATTTGTCCTACGATTCCTAGCCAGAATTCCTTAAATCGTCCTCCGATACTCCAGGTCACATGGTGAGTCACCTATTAAATACGAAATCTAAGCAGTAAACAAGCTTTTAAAATCCTTAGGTAACTCCCTTTATTAAAATTGGTTTTTTGATATACCCTTACAGATATTATATTTCTCGTAAGCGTTTAAAAGCATTTGTCTAATAAAGCTTTCCCTAAAAACCTTTACGGAAAAAAACCTATCACCAGTTTTCTTACGTTAAAATCTCACAAAGTCCGAAACCCTAACTTTAACCGACATGATTGTCTTATTACACCTAATACGCTCGCAATATTAACCCCCCAGAATGTTTAAATATGTGTTAGAATGAAAAACGAAGTTAAGAAAAATGGGTTTTCCCTAGCTGTGTTCTCAGAAGCAGCATAACTTTTACACGCGTTTGGGAATAAAACTTTAAACAATTATCCCAAAATTTGGCCCAATTCAGACACAAAACTATTGCTAAAATGCCTGAAGCTTTTAATCTTTTCTTTCGTTTTAATTTATACACCTGAGTGTCGAAATCTGTTCCGGTAACAGAAACATAACATTCCTTAATAATGGCACCTAATGAGTCTAACCCAAGTCGCTGTTTCCTTCATACCCACACCTGTCTGCCGAAAGCTTTTCCCGGACACACTCGGCTCCCCGAGAATTCCCACACTTGTTTTCATAAACCCACTCCTTCCTCTTCGCCCACTTCCAACTCGCACACTTCTCTGGATCTACCGGCCTCTCCCCTCTTAACGACCATGGGCTGAGCGGACAGCTCGGTCCCTAACCCCAAGCGCCGAGAAACCCAGGACTAGTGGGGTGGGTCCCCAGCGCCGCGAGGCAGTGGCGTGGGGGAGGAAAGGAAACGGGAGAGCCGAGCAGCCCCCCCGAGCCGGGCGCACACCCCCTTCCGGCACCCCTCCCCCCGCATTGTGCGAGCGGGCCCCGGGCCCCAGGCCGCAGCCTTCCCGGGCTGCCCGCAGGCCCCATCCGCCCTCCCGCCCTGCGGGCTGCTCCCGCCGAGACCGCCACACAAAGCCCGGGAAGCCAGCTCCTGCGCCGCCAGAGCACGGGGAGAGGGAGCAAACGCGGACTGACTTACGGGGCTGCTGCGGCCGCGCTGCCTCAGCCGGGGACACCGACCGTTGGGCACACGGCGGCGTCGCTCTTGGCCGTCCTTCCCTCCTCCGCCTTCGGTGGCGGCAATATCTTCTTTCTCCACCTACCTCCCTCCCCCCCACCCCACCTCCTCCTTCTCCTCCCCCTCCTCCTCCGAACCACCGAAGTACCGAGGGTGAGACACAGAGACTCACAACAACATGGCTGCCACCGCCGCCTCCCCTCCCCTCCCCCCCCGCCCACCGGGCGCGCGCAAGGCACTCCGGGAGAAAGGGGAGGGGGAGCACTCACCGAGGTGCGGCTCCTCTCAGTGGCTTCCGTCGCTTCTCCCGCGCTCCGGGCGCCGGCCGGCGGGAGTTCTGCGCGTGCGCACGCTCTCTGCGCTCGCGCTTTTCGGCCGTCCCTCAGGCATGCGCTCCCCCGCCTTCACCTTGCGGGCTCGCGCCTGGTCCTGGGCTCGGCGGCGGCGCGGCCAGACGGGGACGCTAGCCTGAGTTCGGGTGGCGCAGGCGTGGTGTCGCCGAGCGCCGCGTTCGCCTCTGTCTTCCCGCGTGGGGCCTCGACTTCCGAATTCGCTTACCCTCCGCTTCCTCCCCGGTAGCTCATTGTTCTCCGCCAACCGCTTGTGCGGGTGTCATTGCCCTTGACCGCGCGGTACTCCTCGAACTTCACTTCTGGGGTGCTGGCACCCACAGGAGCCAGACAGAAAGCCAGGCCCGTAGGTTTCATCCTCACCCTCTCCCCGCAGCAAGACGGTGGAGACGTGTTTTGGGTGGAAAAGTGAACCCCTCACGTGGACTGTCATTCTAGTCGTTGCCTCCTGGGCAAGTGGAGCCCGCTCAGCACATTGCTTGGCCGGGGTAAACACAAAGGAGATTCAGGTCGTTCTACTGGGCTAGTGATTCTCCCTCGCCGCCGATTTTCATCACCCGCGCTCGCCAAGTGCACCCGCCCTGTCCGGCCCCCACCCCCAGCAGTTAGAGACCAAACCCGCGCTGCCATCCTGACTCCGTGGCTTTGGTAGTGGTGATTGCAGGCTTGAGACCCAACCGTAGTGTGCCCCTGTCACACAGCTGTAATGTGGCAGGGCAGCGGCACTGTATCCACCTTGTTCTCCATGGTTTGCACAACTCTGACATTCTGTATTTCTGAAACGGAGTGCTTTTTAATTTATCTTCCTGGGCGACTGTAAGCTCCACGAGGGGCTGCAGGGACCATGTGTGTTTCGTTCACGCAGGTGTGTTGTGTCCCCCAGGGCTTGGGCCATAGTAGTGTTCAACAATCATATGCTGAATGCCTGAGCTTTTCCGTTTTTAATTATTATCGAAAATGTGTGACATTTGAATCTGTCTCAAGCCTTTACGTGTGGCCCACATTCCAGGCTTCTAGATATTTCTTTTTTTTTTTTTTTAAGATTTTATTTATTTATTTGAGACAGAGAGAGAAAGCATGAGGAGTAGGGAGGGGAAGAGGGGCAGGGGAAGAGGGGGAGGGAGAATCAGACTCCCCACTGAGCATGGAGCCCAAGTGGGGCTCGATCCCAGAACCGTGAGATCATGACCTGAGCCTGAGGCAGACACTTAACTGACTGAGCCACCCAGGCACCCCTAAATAACAATTTCTGAAAAGTACGTGAAATATCTCACAGGAAATATGCACACTAAAACAAAAACTAATCTTAGAAAAATAACAAAGCAAATATTAATAACAAAATAGCAAGTAAACTCTTAAGTTTAACTTCTGAAGATACAAAGATAAAAGGGGAGAAAACACAATTAATTACATACAATACTCACTATCCATAGAAAAAAAAATATACCAACAATTCCTCATAGGTAACCATATTTCTAGCACTAAGCTTTCAAAGAAATTTCTTATACGGGATATTACAGAGGACACAGAATTATAATAGAAAATCCCAACAACATTGTCTCAACAGATACAAGGTTTCATAATCTTATTTTTTATAGTCAGTCCCTCAAGGAAAGCCATGCACCTAACTTGTAACACAATCCAGGGAAAGCAATTCCACAGTTAATTCTGTAAGCGTTCCAGGACAATATGGTCTAAATCTTCCCAAGTTATAATCTTGGATATCCGAAGTCTTTCAGGATTATCCAAATCAGAAAAAGCCTTTAAATCCGGTGGGTCCCCCTACTTATCTCTCCAATCATTTTTCTTTTTTTTTTTTAAGATTTTATTTATCATGGGGAGGGGGAAGCACATGTGCATGCGCACAAGCAGGGGGAGCAGCAGGCAAAGGGTGAAGGAGAAACAGGCTCCCGCTGAGCAGGGAGCCCTACATGGGGCTCGATTCCAGGTCCCGGGATCATGACCTGAGCAGAAGGCAGACTCCTAACCGACTGAGCCACCCAGGCACCCGTCCAGTCATATCTTTTTTTTTTTTTTTTTAAGATTATTTATTTATTTGACAGAGAGAGAAAGCACAAGTAGGCAGAGAGAGAAAGAGAAGCAGGCTCCCCACTGAGCAGGTAGCCCGATACGGGGCTCGATCCCAGGACCCTGGGATCATGACCTAAGCCAAAGGCAGATGCTTAACCGAATGAGCCACCCAGGTGCCCCCAGTCATATCTTTTCAATTTTCCCTATTTCCATGTCAAGTTCTGCTATTCTCCCCTATCAGGGTCACTACCCATACTAATCCCTCCAGCTGAATGCCATTTCACCTATCTCTTGACTAAATTAATTTCTCCAAGTCTTTTTTTTTTTTTCCATTTTAAGTAGGCTCCAAGCCCAACATGGAGCTTGAATTTATGACCCCGAGACCAAGAGTTGCATGCTCTACTGACTGAGCCAACAAGATGCCCCTCTCAAGTCTTTTTAAGACTAACTTAACCTCAGGGCACCTGGGTGGCTCAGTTGTTAAGT